ATATAATTAAGGTGTGTCTTAAATAACAGTTAATCATATTAATAACAGTTAATCATATTATTAACAGTTGAAATAAATACACGAGGCCTGTTTTAATATTCACAGCCAAAACATCGTATCACTGTTTTTTTGTTTTTGTTTTTTGGGGCGTTGGGGGATTTTTAGTTTTAGGTTTTTTTTCCTTCGAGAGAGACAATAGGTCTGCATCTCTGCTCTAAATAAGCCAAGTTTAATTTTGCTTCCTGTCTGATAAACTTCTAAGTGCCTGACAGTTCCCCAAAAGCAACAATCTTCCTCGCGTATTTTTGCGGTCAGAAATCTTACGTTTTAAAGCAATGATCGCATCTCCTATTTTTTTAGTCATATTTCTGCAGCTAATGCCAGCTCTTCACCTTTTACGAGCTTTTCTGGACACTCCGTACTGCATGTCTCAGTTGGTTCGGGGGAGGACGAGCCTTCCGAGGAGAGGCGGCTGTCCTCTCCTCTGGCCGGGGCGCAGGGCGCAGGGACAGGCGCCTCCTCGTGGCCCTCTCCATGCTCCGACTCCGCAGAGGCAGCCGGCGGCTGGGAGGCTTGGCTGTCCAAACGGGCAGGTCGTTGCAGAGTGAAGTGATTCATGTTTGGCTGGACATCGTGATAGAGCCTGGAGGACGTGTATGTCTGAGACAGGCGGAAGTAGCCGGGGACTGGCACCGTGTTGCCGCTACCCGGGCAGGATGCGCTCGAGTAGGATATGTCATCTACTGTCGCTCCTTTAGGACATTTATCAGACTCATAAAGGCAGTAAGCGCTCTCCTCTTTTATACTCGGCGAGAATGAACACTGAGCCATATGCTGGGCGCTGGGCTGATCCACCCGACAGGATCTCGACGTTTCCAGCCACGTTTCCATTCCTTGAACATACGAAGCAGCAGAGGGGATCACGCTTTGGGTCGTTGGCTCGTTGCGCTTACCGATCCCCGTGAAACAAGAGCCACCGGAGAGTCCATATGAATATTCCGACGCCGGTGGCAAATACACGCTGTTACTTTGGTAATACGAACCGCTGTCGGTTCTCACGTTGATTAAGGAGTCCACAAAAAAGGAATTTCCAGCTTGGTTGTTGGGGCATGACATCGCTGTGGTATAATTTGACGGTGGATGAAGATAGCCCTTTCTGGCTGACATTTCTTGTGCAAAACATTGCTGAATAATTACTGATACTCACGCTTCTCACTGTAGCCTGTAGCCAATTAAAACACCAGGCGACTACAGACTCCTCCCAGTCCCGATCAGGCATCTCCACTGTGTCATATATTTTGTTTTAGGCTAAGTAAAGAGAAACTTTGAGGGGGGAAAGTGGTGTATCAAATGGGTTTAAGTAAAATCTTTAAATCTCCTTAAACTCTTGCACCTATAAGCCTCGAGGTGCCTGCCTTAAGTTTAGCACAACAACTGCTATTTGAAAACTCAGTTGTTGAAAGCTGTCCCTAACCATTATGTACAATGCATAGCTTTATGGCCAGTTTTACAGCACTGTAAAATGAGGGGTTCTAGAGGTGCCTCTGAGAATCTCAGGATGCGTCGAGGATCCAAAATGTGTGTGACTCTTTGGTCCAGGGACTCTTAAGCTTTCTTGTGCTCATCTGATTGTTAATATTATTGGCCAGAACCTTTTAAAAATTTCTCATGGACTGTCCAATAGCAGAGTGGACAGCTGCTCAACTTTGTCGCATTCATGCCAAAACTTCAGGTCACGTTTTGGTGTGAATATTATGGATTAAAATGTCACGACAAGGCAACTTTTATTGCAGATGCTCTGCTGAGCATTTATAAGGGCAGCGAGCAGGAACACTGAAGTAAAGGCGCCACAGTTGAACAATGCCCTGGAGCTGCATTTGCGTAATCGTCGCCTAATAGTGGCAATACTGCAAGGAAGGTAGTTTCTTATTTAACAGATTGGAACTTGTTAATTCTACTGTTATGTTCGCCACCGCTGGGATGCCGTATTTTCTCACCTATTTATTCCTTGCTTCTTCAGAAACACCAAGGTCCATATGCACATACTCCACTTTTTATTAGCCTAATTTTAAGCTTAGTGTCATATATATATATATATATGGAGAGAGAGAGAGATGCTGTTAAGTATTACGTATTTAAAATAAAAGAATAAATAAAAAAAATGTATAAAGATATTTCACTTCTCAGGAAACAACAAGTACTACTTTAAAAAAAAAAGTGCTCCAGTAACCTCACACGGATCATATCCCAGTCGGCCGGCCAAGCAAGCAAATCGAGGATCTTAGTTAATTTTTATTTTCCATTTTGTATCATGACAAAGTCAGTTAAAGCTAGTTAACAAAAAGCGTTGGGTTAAAAGCAAAAAAAACAAAAAAACAAAAAACAAATAAAAATAATATATTAAAGCACGCCTTTAAATAAAAATAGAAGCTGAGTTTGTGGCCGACAGATTTAGGTCAGCCTAAAATGTCGCTTATCGTGGGGTTTATCCTAAAATACAACACCGGTTACGTCTATCTCCCTTTAAGCCTGGAGCCATAAAGTCTAGAAATCAGACCTGCAGTTTATATACAGCCATTTTATATGGCGGCAAACGTGCAGCAGTCTTGCTGGAATGAATGAGAATATCCATTAACCCCTCTGGATTATTTCCCGTCAGGTCTAAGTGTGTGCTGCGCGTCTGTTGATTATTATCATTCCCTCATATTATTATTCACATAAAACATAAACTTAGGTGTAAAAAGGGGGCTTTTTACCTATCTGACTTTATTAAATAAATGTTAGAAATCGAGTGAAAAGCACGCACAGCTACGCACGCACGCACAAAGGGACAACAAAAGTAACCACTTTTTAAAAGATTTGTATTGATCCCATAGCGTGTATCCAAGATGATCAAATCCTCTCCCACTAAATGAAGTATGATCTACATTTAAAAACAAAACAAAACTATATGGTGTTGTAAAAATTAGTGACCCACAAACTGTTTGGAATATAAACCTTTGAGATTTTATTTCTTCGTGCGCATTAGATATGCCCATTACTTTGCACAATTTCAACCTGAGAACTGCTGAATTGAATATACACAGAAATAAATTTTCTGCAGAGTTTTCTTGCGGAACTTTTCCAAAAATCTTATTATTATATGACAACATACAATAAAACATCTTCAGGTCAGTTATATGCAGACAGAAATGATTCTGGATGTTGTGGGAAAATAGACTTTCTTAAATCACAAGAAGAGAAGGGGAAAAAGAAAAACACATCCCTGTCACTGTGAAATGAATATGACAGTATGTCTGTGCCTACCTTAACAATAAAATCCTGAGGTGGTTACATATTTTAAAGCGGCTGAACGTCGAGTCAAACTTCCTTCATATCTCAATTCACGGCAATGACATTGATCTGAGGAGCGCCACCCAGTGGGCAAACACAACAGGCCCACACTGGAACGCAACACCAACGGAATATTCCTACCACGGCAAGATGCTGATACAAATGAGGCCGGAAAGGTCCGTGAACACAAGTTTCAGTGCTCCCAGCCGTTGTTTTTCAGGCCCTTAGTCACAGTTAATAACCTTGGTCTCAGACGCTTTATTGCACTGCACTCCAAACGCTCCAGACGAATCCGCGTTTTATGGCCAAGTTACTGGAGCAACTGGGAGGATGTGCAGCAATCAAAGCGGCATTCCTGGGAGCCTCACAGGATGCACAGTATAAGGAAGGCTACAGGGCCCTTATTAGCTTATGACAGGCTATTCAAGTTGTTTTCAGGGCCCTAGTGCTGATTATAAAATCACATTGAACACTTTTTCTTTTTTACCATCTTTTCATGTGCAGTTACCTCCGTTTGCATGTAAGATTCCCAGCTTGTTTATGTCCTAACATACTTATGTAAGGTCTTTGGATTAAATCACTCCACATAATAAATAAATGATGATACTGTTGGTGGCGACTGTACTCACAGTATGGGGTTTCTCCGTGTCTTTATTTACCCCATGTGCTACTGCTGGTTCAGGCTGACACCGGCTGACTTGAGCGTCCAGTAACAGCTACAACACTTCGTGGAGCCACATGAGAAAACAAATACATTTGTTTTTTTGTTTTTTAATTAGATCTACGCGATTTTTTAAGTGTCAAGATCGTTTCAGATTGACTTAATAGGAATGTAAGGTCAAAAATAAGCTTTTTCACATCCCCCTCCCAGAAATGAATGAAAGCCTTGTAACGGATATCAAATAATAACTGCAGAGGATCTGATTTCCAGCCACGAGGGAATAAAAAGCTTCAGACCTACATATCATGCATCTGATACGACCCACGTGCTGGCATATAAAACAAAATATTGGATTACGTTTCTTTTGGAGGCTTTGCTCTTTTATCAGAGGTTTGCCCTTTGGATGAATTTGGAAAGTAATCCAACTTTTACGAGCAAGGGCTCAACAAAGCGCATGTAGTAGGGTCAAGCGCAGATGTTAAATATCAGTGAATCTCAGACTTAAGTGTATGAGACGAACAAATTTGTATCAGATTATGGCTTTACTCATTCCACAACTATGCAATGCCGTGGCAAGCGTTTTTGGACCAGCTGATCACTATCAGTGGTGTCAAAAATCAGGAGGGGGGTCTGTTAGTAACTCCAAAACCTAGAAAAAAAAACGTTTTTAAATCCCCAGACTTCTTGTATTTGCACAGGAACACTGAAAAGATGACGGGGGGAAGTCAAACGTTTCGGCCCGCAAAAGATGTGTGTTCGCGCTAAAATTGGGCCAAATCAAGATCCATTAAAGGGGACAGAAAGATACACGTGCGTGCGCAAGTAAACTTTAATCATATAGTGGAAAAAAATAGGATTTTTTTTTAAATGCATCTTGATGTATATTATTAAATAAAATGAAGGGAAATCATACAGATGCGTAAGCACCCCCATGCAACCATTAGACTTTAACATCTGTCGAGCTTAATAATAATAATAATAATAATAATAATAATAATAATAATAATAATAATATAGCAAATTATGTTAAAGGTGTATAAATAATTATTTATGGAGAGTGGCACTTTAAAATCTCGTCCTCCTGTCCAGGTAATGATATAGATGTGTGTGTAAAAGAGAGAGGTGCGTGTCCGCTGTCTTTGTTCAGTTTTTTTTATAGCAGGGGGTTCGTGGTGTAGTACTGTAAACGGTCTCTGTTCAGTTTCTTCTCCTTCATCCTTCTGTTTTGGAACCAAATCTTGACCTGGCGATCTGTCAGGTTGAGCATCCGCGAAAGCTGCAGACGCTTCTCTTTGTTGATGTAAACACTGAAGAAGAACTCTCTTTCCAGTTCCCTGATCTGATATTTGGAGTATGGACATCTCTTCTTGCGCGTCCTCTGGCCACCTGGAAGACAACAAAAGGCAAAAGATCGTCTCTTAAGATTAACATGGACCCCTTTGCACCCGCGTGAGATCGCCAGTGTATTTCTCGCTGATAAGCAGCCCCAGCTTTGGAGTTCAAGTATCTTCCCCCTACACTCAGGCCTACAGGATCAAGACTTGTAAACAAAGGCTGGGATTGATAGTAAAACACGTTGGGCACTAAAGATTGCCTGTCGGAAGTTGTGAAAGCGTATTGAAATCTGTAAAGTGAGGGGGGGGGGG